TTGACTTTCCTTTGCTTTCTTTTATTTTTTTTTTTTTTTTTGCTAGTGCACATCTTAAGCTTGTATGACTGAAGGATATGACTGATTTAAAGGAGTAACTTCATATTTGGGTTATATGGAACAATAAGCTAAAATCTTCACAGAAACCATGATTTTGTTGAAATTCTATGCAGGCATTTTAAAATCTGGTTAATCTGATCAGGAATTCCAGGACTGCTTAGGTCTCCACTGTGGAATGTTTAGTTTTAAATTCGTGTCATATGGAAGAAAGAAGGAAAAATTAAGTTTAGGAATTTTTTTTTTTTTTTTCACTATCTGCCAGTACAGATTAACAGACTGGGGAGACAGCTTTCAAAACTTCTAAATTTATGGATAAGATTCCCTGATGTTTTTTAACAGCTACTAGAAATCTAAAGCGCACAAACTTTAAATCTACCGTGCTTTCTGTTGTAGAAAGGATATGTTGTGGTGTTAGCCTTTTTAATCCTGGAATACAAATTGATTTTAAAATGTGTTGAATATTTAAGGATGACTTCATGCAAGTTAATAAACCATTTGTAAAGTGTTTGTATACAACCCTTTGTATCATGTTGTTGGTACACCTTACCAAATTTTTTTTGAGCATGTATTCCATTCTTTACTTCTGTACAATTTCTATTGTTGCTGTAAATATTCTAAAAGAGAGAAAAAAAAAATCCTGTGGTAACCTTAATTATCAGCATGGAAATCGTTAATTTTTACTGAGCACAATGTATTTTTGAATGGGCCTTCCAAAATATGTCTTTAATAAAAATGCAGATTTTGCACTAGAACACTGGCATTGTTCAACAGCTGATCTTATTCGTGACACGTCTCTGTCTCTTCCAGAGCACCTCTCCCTACATGAGTGTGGCTCAGTTGAGTGGAGCAGACCAGAGCCAGGACTCCTGTGCCCAGTGGGTCACTGCCAGGTCCTGGCTGACTCCCCCATCTGAGAGGCCACTCATAGAGGGCCCACAAGCCTGATGTTTCCATGGGATGTCTCCACAGGGCACCTTGAAGTACCTTGTTGCCCACCATTCCTCTAGTCTCATTGCAGGATGGATTCTGCTCTTTAGGGCAAGAATCTCTGCTGTTCTTTCTTTTGAACAGTACCAACCCGCCAAGGCCCTCAGCAGGCACTACCTGGCCTAAAAAGGCCTTGAAAGTTTCCAGCCCACTGTCTTCGCCACAGGAAAAGTGTCATGATGGCATTTCATCATTGTCATATGTAAACCGAGACACTTCTAGGCAAATGTTGAGGTGTCAGCAATAAGAGTTTTTTGATGGCTTCCTCTTTAAGGTATCCTGGCTATGAGATTTTTTGTTACTGTGTGCAGCTTTAAAAAAACTTTAAATATTTCCCTGCTAGTCTCTCTTTCTTTGGGGTAATTGGAAACAAACTGACGAGTAGGGACCGCTTTTCCTGGGCCTCCCTTCTTTCCCTCTGAGCTCCAGCAACACTTGCTGAAAGCCAGGACTTGAAGTCTGTTAGATCTCTCTACTGATGGGTTGTGCAGCAACCACAGCCTTGGTGAGACCAGGCTGCTGCCAGTGCCTGCCCTGAGCTGTGCCCATCACCTCCGTAAGAGGGAAACTTCCCATCTGAGCTAATGACTTCAACTGCCACCAGGACAGTTCAGCACTTCAACATTTCCATCCAGAAACAGGGTTGAAATGCATTTCCTTGAGGTGCCCAGTGCTCTGGGGGATTTGGCTTTACTCTTAAACCCTTACTTGGCTCTTCCAACAATCTCATTTAGTACCCCCTTTTCTGTACCCCCTGCAGAGCCTCAGAAACTGGAGTGGCCATCTCCATGGAGATGTTGAGCACCTCAATGTGGTATCCACAGTGTAGTCAGTCTTAGACCCCCATGGGATGGAGGGTCCGGGTCTGGGGCCCCCAGTGCAAGAAAGATGGGAACCTATTAGAGCATGTCCAGAGGAGGGTCACTCATTTGTTCACAGGGCTGGCACACCTCTCCCATGAAAACAGGCTGGGTGATTTGGGCCCAGAAGAGAAGGCCCTGGTGAAACCTTGTAGCACCTTCCAGTAGCTAAAGGAGACTGCAAGAGAGCTGGAGAGAGACCTTCACAAGTACATGTAGTTACAGGACAAGGGAGATTGGCTCTAAACTGAAGGAGTTATTAAGGAGGGCAGGTTTAGATTAGATATTAGGAGGAAATTCTTTACTGTGAGGGTGGTGAGGCACTGGGACAGAGTGCCCAGAGAAGCTGTGGACTCCCCATCCCTGAAGATGTTCAAGGCCAGGTTGGATGGGGCTCTGAGAAACCTGTTCTAGTGGAAGATGCCCTGCCCATGGCAGAGAGATAGGAGCTAAGTGATCCTTAGGGTTCCTTCCAACACAAACCATTCTGTGATTCTATGATTATGAGGAAAAGCTTTCGTATTTATGTAATTATACTTTAGCTAGTGCTGTCTCACTTTCATGATGGCCTCAGTCACACTGTTACACCAACATACTGAATTTATGCAGAAGTGGAAGTCAAAAACATTTTAGGACCACTTAATTAATTGAGCCTCTCAGCACTCTTTATATAAGAGGCAGAGGTTAAGTGAATTTCTAGAGGTCAATTAGCAAGTGAGCTGCATAGCAAGGATCAGAACAGAAACTCCTGCTTTAGCAGGAACCATTTAGTTGCAAGTCAGAAGTGGGTCCCTTCCCCATGCAAGCTAGAGAGGTGAACTGCAGACAAAGGGAATTTGCAAGAGGCAAATTAACTGTGAAATGCACTGTGGTCCATCTTATGTATATACATTTCAATCTAGAAAAAGGTCTAATGATTTCTTTGAAGATGGGAGTCTGGAAGAGTGATAGCACAGGTTCTTTCTAACTAGAAAGTATTTTCTTCCTCCAAGGTTTATTATATCCTCTAAGTAGGATCACTCATGTGAAAATATGTAATTTAGTGTGGTGCCTTGGTGTGTAATGGTGTGTGGTCCATCTATTCAGGTATGTGCATCTCACAAGAGTTTCTGTCCTTTGCCATTGGGTGCATTTCCAAAACCAGACAACTGAAAAACTCTGGCCTGTGCATAGGTGCTTGTCAGAGGCCAGTCACAGATAAGACTGTGACTAGCTACAGTCAAGCATAACTGCTTTGGAGTGATACAAATACTCACCAGTTTGTGCCCAGTTCATCCTTCTGCCCCTTGCAGCCACCCCTCCACCCCTCAGTCATGCAGGAAAACATCAGCACCAAGGCTCCCTCCCGTATTACCATCCATCAGGACATGGAGCAGAAGTGCAGAGCTGCCTGTGCTGCTTTTAGGGCAGGGAAAGCTGTGTGTTAACACGTTGGCAACTGCATCCAGGGCCTGGAAATGCTTCAGCTTTCAGTGTTGGTGTTGGTGTGATGGATGCTGGGGAGCCCTTGTCTCCCTGGTGCTGGATGTGCAGTGCCTCCGGGGAGCTGCTATACCACGCTGGTCCGACAGCTTGGCTGCTGAGGAAGTGCCTTGATCTCAGTGGATCTTCTCAGTAGAGCTTGCCTTGACTGCCAGCATTAAAAGAATCACAGTGATTTCTTACTAAGAAAATGTGTCCTAGACCAATTTGTGGATAGGCAAAAGTCCTATCCATGGATTAGGAGGTGGGAGGGAAGCAAGGGAGTGCTGGTGTATGGCAATCATCTCAGCAGATGGGAACTGGTCTTTTTTACATCTCTGTAGACCTCATACTGTTGGTTAGTGGAGCAGCTTTCAGACTTGCCAGAAGAGCTTATTTCCCTGACAGCTATTATTTGTCTCTACATACAGTAATAAAACAAGGCAGGAATAAAACATCTGCTCTCACAAATGAATGTGATGAATTGCACAGCCATCCAAAGGCTATTATCATGTTTTTGGTCACATCTCATCTGTTTTTAGTCATATCTGTACTCATGCCGTGCTCACTGAGCATTCACTCTTCCCATAGGGATAAGGAGAGGACAGGAGAGGCAGACATCTTCATGCCTCTCCTCTCTTCCCAGAGACAGTTCAGGTTCTGATGCTATGACTCTTTGGGATGGATGCACAAATTGTTAGAAAATAGTGAAAAGGCCTCTGGTGCCTGCCAGGTTTGTGCTGCAGGTGTGTGGGAAGGCAAACCAAAGCCATCACTCCAGAGCTCCCCACAAGCCTCCCTCATGGGAGCTGTGTGGGCTGCAGTTCCCACATGTACTCAGCATCGGCCCCTGGGCTGAGGAAGGGACATGAACCTTAGTAGTTGGGGCCTCACCCCAGGAAGATGGGCCCGTCATCCACATGCCCCAAATTCCTTGGGTGCTAAACACCCACTGGAGATGGGGCTATGGAGATCAAACAGTTAAGAAGAGTGAGTCCCTGTATCTGTGCCCAAACATCGACAGGGAGCAAGCAAAGTGCTAGAGTCCCCAAGATGTGTCAGTGCAAAAAGAGGATACAGAGAGGGTTTGTCCAGCCAGTGCTCAAGGCACTGATGTCTGCCCCAAAGCCAGCCACAGCAGCTCAGGCCAGAGGGGTTGTGATACAAGCAAACATGAGGCGATTTGAGAGTGTGACATTCAGATGGGGGCCCTGGTACTGGGAACAGGCCAGATCTGGCCCCAACCCTGTCTCAGGGCATGAAGGTGAGATGTCTGTCCTGGCACACACCTGCCTTCCCAAAGAGAATCCAAGCCCTGCCTTTGGACCCCATCTGCATGTATTTCAGTGTTCACAGCTCACTGTGATGATCATTTCCCTAACCTAACATCCAGGGCCAGAAGTGCCGCATCTCACAGGATCCAAGCCATGGCCCTGAACCTTCCTCTTCCCCAGTGTGTCCCCCACAACCCCACATCATCTGTATCACCAGGCATGGTGTGAAGTAACATTTTATTCAATACAGCCCTTCCCGTGGCAGGCTGGGCGTTGACACCGCAGGTGTGGTGGGGCGAGGCGAGGCAGGGCAGCTGCACAGGCGACAGGCACCCCCAGAGCCCTCCGGACCCCGCGCTCAGCCGCACTTGCGCAGGCACTCGAGGAGCTCCATGCGGATGGCGATGCGCACGTGCCAGCCCAGCGGGATCAGGCGGATGTAGCGGGCCACGATGGGCGGCCGCAGCAGGTTCTGCACCGAGGACGAGCGGTCGGAGTTGCCATAGAAAACCTGTGAAGGGAGGACTGGATGGGTGGGGGGTTAGGGGGCTGGAAACCCCATCCCATGAGTTTGGGGTGTCTGCGCAGAGAGCAGAGGAGGAGGAAGCTCCTTCCCCTCCACCTTCAAAACTAAAGACTTTAAAAATAGCCAGATGTAGACAATTTTTGTCACACTGATTCAGTTTTCTAAGCAGGCCATTTTCCCCCCATCAGTCCTGTACTTTTTATAGTTAGGCCAGAAAATCTTACCCATTCTTACCCCATTCTTTCTCATTTGCCTTCCTGTACCAAGGCACTGCTTGTTTGGAGTGAGCATGGTTGTCTTTGGCTATTTGAAGTTCATAAGCTACACAAGCCAATATAGACTAAAAAATACATTTGAGGCTCCTTTTCCCATTCCTTGGCCTGGATGTCACATCTGTTGACATGACCTGTTTTTTGGGAAAGCTCAGCATCTCCCCAGGACTGCAGGAACTTCAGCAAAGCCAGCAGAGCTTCCTGGCTGGGGCAGGGCCATTCCCACAGATGGGCATTGAGGACACCTGGGGGGCAGCAGGTGTGGCATCCTCCAGCCCAGCTGGACTGCATAGGGATCAGAGGCAACTCTGTAGTATTTCCCCAATGCAATTTTTTGTTTCAAGTCAACCAGTAAGAAGTGCAGCATGAGAATGGTTTGGTGGGTTATGACTTAACCAGTTGCAGATTTTGTCTGAGAGGTTTTTCTGCACCAGGATAACGCTCTATCCCTGGACATGGCAATAAAATAAATACCCATGCAGTGCTGAAGCATGGCTGGGGCTGTGTGGCCACAGCTAAGAAAGAGGTTTTATCATGGAGGTGCTGCCTCCTCTGCAATGCCAGCTAATGCCTCTGAGCTCAATCTGGACTCCAGTATGATCATTAGAAAACACAAATAATGTATTCTGTCATTCTGCCCTGGTCAGCATGACACACTCTCACCTCAGGGGGAATGGCCCCTCTCTGTGGTGCTCCCTGATGCAGAGTGAGCACCGAGACCCATCGACACTGCTGCTCCCACAGAACCCCCTTTTGATGCACCTCCCTCTGAGACCTATTGTCACCAAACATGCCACCCTTCCACCAGTGGCCAAAGAGCAAAGGTCACTGACCCGGTTGTTCCCGGTCTGGTCCTTGTAGTACACCCAGTTGAGGTTCTCGTCGGTGCGGTACTGTACGCTGTACTTGGTCATCCACTCGTCAGCATCACAGCGCCCTTGTGTGAGGATCCCCGAAATCACCTTCACCTCCTTCAGGTCAATCTGCAGCCACTGTGCAGTGTCCTGGTACTTGGAGAGCCATGCACACCTGGGGGGACAGCATCAGCCCTGCTCTGTCCGCCACCATGCCCTCCCAGGCAGACCCTCCTGCCCCCACACAGCCAGGACTCCCCAGCCCCCACACCCACAGTCCCCAGGACCCCTCAGGGAGGAATTTTTGAACTCACCCGAAGCCTTGGCCATTGAGACGGGCCTTGTTGGCTGTCCAGGAGGAGTACCAGCCAGTGTATTGCTCAGGGTTGGAGCAGCTGATCTGCTCTGGTGCGATGGCACCAGACTCAAAGCCCAGGGGCTTGTGGTAGGGACACTCTGCAGAACAAGGCAAAAAAATACTTAAAGGACAGAAATAGCTCTGTTTTCTGTATGTGTTTGCACACATATTGTGAACACCTCCTGGGGTTTCTTTGATCTCTCTTCTTGATTAGGATGCTGAGAATGCTCTTATTCCAGACCACAACCTGCCCTAGGACCATAGGGTCATCATTTCTAACCTTCACTTGTGTTAATTTCTACTTTCTCAAACTTACTAGACTTGTTCTGACTGCAACATTTTGGGGGAAAGGCTTTATTCAGATGCTGCAGTCTTAATCTGCCTTTTGTAAGCATGTGGTAGAAGAGCCTGACTGGATACATCAACCTGGATCCAGCCTCCAGGCTGTCAGTTTTTTGCCTGGTCCTTAAGTAATGCTGGGCACTTCTTTTCTTGCTGGGCTTTACCTCCTTCTGCCCCTCTAATGACTACCTTCATTTACGGCTCTAGTTGCATGGCAAAACTGCTGAGCCAGCTCTGGTCACCCCTCCACAAGCACCCTCAGATCTGCACTTTCTGCTATGGGGACCTTCTTTGTGTCCCAAGCTGGCCTTGCCTTGTGAAAACTTGCAGGTGCTCTGGTGCCAGTGAGGTGTCATGCACAGCCCTGCTGAGGACTCAGGGATTTCCATCTCAGTTTTTGACTGCAGATCTTCAGGGTAACAATCCTGCCCCCACAACTGTCTTCCACAATAGTGAGAAATTCAACACGACTACCACTGGCAGCAAAAATACTGGAGAAAGAAATACTCATTCACCATTAAAACTTTCTGTGGTGGGTCACCACCTCTGGAAGGCAAGACTTTACTGATGCTGAGCACCTGCATGCTACCTGGACCTAGCATCGGGATTTTTAGTTATGATCTTTATTTTTATGCGATCAGGTTATCATTGTGCATCAAGATACAGAGAATGAAGGCACCCAAGTGTCACGTAGGGATTGCCTAGGCAAACATCTATATCATGGGCAGCATTTTCTGATTTTGCAGCCTATGGACTCTCTGGAGTCCCCAGAGGTAATTCTGTCCCTTTCTCCAGTTTAGCATAGTCTGTTTCATGGGTCTCAGAAATAAAGGAGCAAGCAAAGCTCTGCACTGTTTCACTTATGAGTAAGAGGTTTCCATGCCTTATCCATGCCTGAACAATCACCATGGTGCTTTGTGTTAGAAACAATCAACATATGGGGAGCATCACTGGGTGCTCAGAGCCTGGCATGACTGTGGCCTCCCCAGTGCAACTCCCCCGCACTGCAGCCATGCGGTTGATGTCTCATTAGCAAGCTCTACTAGTCAATACTGCATGCATCAATATCTCATTAACATATCTTCCTCAGCTGGAACCTCATTAACATGTTTTTCCCCATAAAAACATATAGCCACTGTCCCGCCTTCCTCCAGGCATGGAAACATACTTTTCCACCACGTTAAAAGCCTTGCTCCCCTTGTGCAAGAGGGTGGCCCTGTGTGTTTACTATTCATCAGGCTTATCTTGAACACCACCCAACTTTACTTTTAGCAACACTAATCCACAGACTACACAACTGTAATGCAATTAGCAGGTCACCTTCTGGTGAGTCCATTTGGGCCATGCACAGGGACCTGCCAAAACAGATGCCTGGTGCCTGCCCAGCCAAAGCAGCTGAACCATTGAACACCATTACTGCCAAGCCAGAGAAAAGTCATGCAGCATTTGTGAGGTTGGCTGCTCCCTTTGGCCATGCCAGAGGCAGCTCTGCAAACTGTCCCCAGTCAGCAGGGAACACCAGGCCACACCACATCAGCTGGGCTGGGCTGGGCAAGGGGAGTGCAAAGCCCCTCTCTGGGGACAGTGACAGCTGGGAGTTACACTGGAAATGTTCCTCAATCAGGAGAACAAGGTAAATGCCTTCATTACTCAGCTACATAATGCTACTGTGAGAAATACCTCCTCACACCTGGCCTGGTCAGGAAACCCATTCCTGCTCCTTGCCCACATGTTCCTTGGCCATGGACAGATCAACCAAACCTGCCACCTTCCCTTCCCTTCCCTTCCCTTCCCTTCCCTTAAAAATATGTTCAAAGAAGGAATAAGCTGTTTTTCTTGATCCCTGGAGAGTCTAGAAGATGTCACAGGCTAAACTGCAGCAAGAGAGAAAGAGCCCACGTGGTACAAAAGGTTTCCCACAGCAATTCCTACACATGGCAGTAGCTGCCCCAGCCAGTTTCTGGAAGCACCAGCACCAAGGGCTCCAGGGGGAGAAAGACAAATGCCCACTGTCACTGGCCAGCATGGGCCACGCTAGGTGACCTTCCAAGGTCATGGGGGCTGCCTCTGCCTGATGGTGCAGGGCCATGCCCTCACTTCACAGTGGTTCAGTTCCACCAGTGCCATCAGCAGCTGGATTTGGAACGCGCCAGCTCTGCAACGCCAGGTGCAAAGGGGAAGCTGCTGAAGGGCACCAGACAAACACAGCTAAAGGCTCCCCCCCTTACCTGGCATGCACTCCAAGCCGTTTGCCTCGCTGGACCACACTGAGTTAGGGCCTCCTTGGCAATCGCATTTGCAAGCCTTGCTGTGCCACAGCTCCAGTCTCTCATCCTAAAAGGCAAGGTAAAAAATGAGTAATAAATCAACACAGTCATCAACAATAGTGTCATGAGGCCAAATCTGAATTCTGAACCTTAGACAAATGCTTTTGCCTGTCTGGACTGCTGCACCTTGTCTGAGACCCTTTCCTGTTGCCAGCTCAGCATGAAACACAGAATTGTATCATGGATTCAGAGGTCAGAGCATATGCCTGAGCTTGAAGGCCCAGGTGCCCTCCCTCCTTCTGCCCGAAGGCACCAGGGCTGGGCAGTGTCAGACTCCCAGCATTTACCTGGCAGCAGGACTATCCAGAGAGTCTTACCTCTCCTGGGGAGAGGGCCATCACAGCTGGGCAGTGGGCATGGAGGGAAGGAGAGAGAGAGAAGTCAGAAACAAAGATGCTGTAAGCAAACATTAGGAAATACAATCAACATTTACTCCTGAGACAGAGACAAACAAATAGAGGAAGGACTGACAAATCTACCACATTTCCCCGAGCTGATTGCCAGGAGAAGGCAAGAGAACGCGGGCAGGAACACTGCATGTGCTCATGCCTGTGCTACCCGACTCCATGGGGGTTTCTGCCAGATGTCTTTGACATCTCACCTTTCTGATCAGATACACCTGAATCACCCTGAAGCAAAACACTAACTGTACCCCTCAGTCTGCTTTACAGCTAATTTTGCCAATATCCATTTTTTCTGTCTCTCTGCTCTACACTTTCCCTGTCACATTTTCCCTTTAAATTGTTTAAGCTGATGAACTTCAAGGGTGAAATCCTAGCCTGGTGCCACTGCAGATCCCAAGCATCTTTGGAGGAGGTAGGGCACCTCAGGAAGTGCTTGGCCTGAGATCACTCCCTCTGGATGTGACAGAGAAAAAAGAAATGTAAATAGGCCTTCCTAATCTGTTTTACAGACAAGACTCCCTTTTTCCCTTTCTTAGAGAAAACCAGTAATTGTGGCTGTAGAGGAAGAGATGCTATTTCTGCAACATCTGACCTGTTTTATCTCCTGCCTCTTACTGAGCAATGGCTTTTATATGAAGCTTTTTCCTTACTGAAAAGGCTCTTCTTGCTTCATAGTGAAGTCCAAAGCAGAGTATGTTAATAGCTTTTAGACTGATAGAATATTTCCCAAACAGCTATGAAAATAAAATAATAAAAAATAATCCCATGACTGCTGATAACTCATCAACACAAGTCAAATGTCAAACATCAGGTTTTCAAAGATGTGGGGAATCTACAAGCTAGTAAGGAAAAAGTGATTGAGCAGGTAAAAGCTTGCATACAGGAATCATGAGAAAGCTGCCATCCCCAGAGGTTTTGTGAATATGAAAACATGATTTTTTTACCAAATGAATTAGACTCTGAATTATTCACTGAAATCTAGTTATGATTTATTCATTCATACACTTCACTTTGCTGAGCCTAGGAAGCTCCAGCTAATGCTGGGAATTTACATCTTACATTACTATAGCAAGTTTCATCTAAAAAGACTCACAAACACAGAGCAATTACAATCAGCTAATATAAATAAAAATATAAACTATATACAGAGCTCTGTTTATTACTGAAATGCAACCGCTCCTTGGGTGTGAAAATGAGTCAAAACTTATCAAGAGTCTAAAAGAGAGACCACAAAAAGGAAAATGATGAAGAATTTTTTTAAAATTCCTTTCTCTAACACGGGGATGGTCTCCTGTACTTCATTGTCCCAGAGTAGCATTTCTAGCATCAGAAACTTACCACATTAACCAATGGCATTGGCCCTGACAGAAGAAGTAAACACCAGTCTACAATAAAAAATTGTGGCTTCTACTCAGGGCCAAGAGGGAGGCAGGGATCACCCAGAGCCCAGCATGCTCAGGAGGAAAACGTGCTTGTACATCTCCAGACATCTTGGAAAGCGTAGGCTGAGGGCCCCACACAGCACTGCACTACACCTTTCCCAGCATAAGTGATACCAAGCCCAGCCCTGGGAGTCCTTTGTGCAATCAGAAAACCAAGGCAGAGGGGAAAACCCAAAGCTACCCCTGTGCTGTGCCACATGGGGCAAAGAGTTTGACTTATGTGTGTTTGACTGTGTGAGGGTGATTTAAGTTAATGCTGTCAGTCAATACAAGAGAAACCAAGATTTTATCATTTACCAAAACTGGACCACCTTTGCCAATAAAAGTAATGCAGTGCCTGCTTCTCCTGCCTGTCCTGTGCTGTTTGGTGCCAGTTCTGGAGAGACACTGGTACCTGGGGCATGAGATCCAGACTGGCAGGTGTCTCTCCTGCCCCCCTGGCCGTAGAATGGTGCTCTTTCCCAGCAGGACAGGTGCACTAGCTGCAAGGGCTTCATTACCCTGGCATCAGGGATGACTCCCCAGCCATCAAACCTGCTGTGTGCTCCCACTGCCCAGCAATCCCTGGCCCACAGGGCTGCAGGCTTGGCTCCTTCCATCTGCTTAACCACTTTATTTTCATCTTTAAAAGATTGTTTTTTTGTGGAGAAAACTTTTGTGGGTTTTTTGGGGTTTTTCTTATGGTGGTTTAACGTACTTTGCCTGAAAAAGGGGTTGGAAAAGGTTTCTTTTGGATCATTGACTCTAGCCATTAACCTAAGGAAGTTATGTTCTATGACTGTAGTGTGGTGAGGCCTGCTCTTGAGCACTGCATGCCTGGGGTGGGGCAAGGGGAAGTGAGTTACCAGGATGGTGTAGGATATTGCTTTGTGACCATGCTGAGCCCTTTAATAGGCCTCCTGAGTCCCTCCCTTTGAGAACTAAGACCAAAATTTAATATGCCATTGACACATGCAGCTGGAAATTCAACAGCTATGAGTGAAACAAAGGTAAGAAAGGAATAGATTTCAGGTGAGTGGGTGTATGGTAGCATCAATTCAACCACCAGGAATAAATCCTCCTCCCCAGGTGACCCAGTATTTTGTGGGTGGTGGCACTCAGCCAGTGGTGTCTGTTCCTGACCTACGAGAGCAGCTTTGAGGGCTTTTAGCCTCATCTGCCAGGGGACACCACTGCAAATCAAGAAAGGGTGTGAATTTTAAGCACAAAAGCCCTTTTTTCAATGCAATGTTTTATTGGGTCAGTCTCACAACACAGAGTGGTATAAAGGCAGTGCCAGGGCACAGGTGCTGGCATGCCTCCCCTCTGTCCCAGCTGGGCTGGGAACCTCCACTCCTCACCACATAACTTGCTGATTTAAACACCTCAAATAGGAATTCGGCTTCCCCTTCTTCAGCTATGAAAGGTGAACTGCTAAGGGCTCACTCCCACAAAAGTCTCAGCCATCCAGCCATGGTACAGAGGAGCAGCAGGCTTGGTGTGGGGTAAGCATAGCTGTGGATGGCCAAATGCCCTGCCTGATAACCCCTGGCTTTGGGAAAGATGCCCTTGCCTGCAGTTGGCCACAAAACATAGTAATTGATATATTGGTGTGTTTACAGCTGTGACAGACCCTGTCCCAAAAATGAAATGAAGAGGAAAGCTGGCTGCCAATAGTCTAAAAATGTGATGGGCAGCATGCTTTTATAGCGAGCATGTTTGCCTTCAAGGAAGGTTACAAAGATAATTGGTAATTGTAGGTCAGACAGAACCAATTGCTGCAATTCAAGGGAGAGTCATAAGGCCTGCACGGCTGCCAGGGGCTGTTGTCTTAAAAGCTCAGGACTGACAAGAACCCCAAAACATTAAAAAGGAAAGAGCTTTATTTACAGCCTGCCAGGACCAGGACCAGCAAACCATTAGTTCAGTGAAATAAATTATTATCTATGTTTTTGGGAGGCAGGGTGATAAGGCATGTGCCTTTCCTGCCCCTTCGTCCCACCCTGCAGTGTGGTGCATCCAGAGCACTGGCATGCACAAATGCTATCCCATAATACAAGATTTAGGGACCAGGGCTTGGGACAAGATCCAGGGGATGATTTTGTGCCAGGGAACCTGTGTTGGTGAGGCTGGGCTGGAGCCCAGTTCCTGAGATGTCTCCACTTGGCACCTGCTGCTGAGCAAGATGAAGGGGAATGATACTCCAGGAACTGATCCAGGTTTGGGGCAGAAAGAAAAGAGTTGGGGTGCCAGGATGGGGCTTCCTGAGTCGGAAGTTGGGTAAAGCAACAGCCACAGCTTAGGGCTACTTGGGAAAAGGGGTAATCAATAGCAAGGAAACTCAGCTGCTCACATTTTAATGACAGGAATAGAAAAATTGTAATCATTAGGAATGTGGTTAAACAAGAGAAAGAAAGGAGGAAGACAAGTGTGGGCAGAAATAACACTGTCAAAGGCTATGTTCAGTACAGTAACTCTGAGGAATCATATTCACTATCCTGACCATAAAGTCACAGAAGCAAGTCATCTTTTAGTAGGAATTAATGACAGATATACAAGAATGAGAAAGCACATTTTAAATGTGAAATGTAAAAAAGAAAGAAATAAAAATATAACACAGAATAAATGTCAGTGACTCAATTTACTGGCATAAGTTCAAATAAACTTGATCATTGCAGGAAAAGTATGTGAAAATGTTCATCTCGTTATTTATTCACTTTATTATATAGGTGTCCTAGAAGCTTCAGCTGGAAAATAGTTAATTTTTTTTTGTCTCATCTCTGTAAGCAACATCTCAGTTTAACAGCACTCAGAGAGGTAAAATTATTTTCTCTCCTCCCAATGGAGAGCAATGCCTCCATGCTGCAGCAGTGCTTTCTGGGCACAATGGCTCCTTTTGCACAGTCACCTGCTTCCCTTCTGCACCTGTGGGTTACAGGGTAGGGGAAAGTAAAACATCTTAAACCCCAGAAATATAAGACTGGGGCCCCAGAAAGGCTCCAAAAAGTCCCAAAAATGAAAGGCATGGCTGGAACGGGTGGCACTGGTTTTATCATGCTTTCTGAAAGGCCCTCTTCCCTGAGCACTGCATTAGAAAGCATCAGGAAGCAGAGTTAGGTAACAGCCTGTACAGCAATACAGAGGGTCGAGGCACTGAAAAAAGCATTGCAGTGCCTTTGTGCCCATTGGGTGCTAGTTTGTATCTCGCTATATTATTAACTTCGGCTATTTTTACATCCCAGCCCTGAAAATCGTGCCAGGCGGCTGAGGTGACTCACATCAGGTTGCAGCAGCCTCTGTAAGAAGGTGCATTTCGGGAAGCTGCCACGTTCGTGGCACTGTCCCCATGTCTCCTTGCCCCTGTGCCGGAGGCAGTGGTCCCAGGGCACCTGCAGCAGCCCCTGCCGGTCCCCAGGCCCCCCTGGCAAGCACAGCCCCCCTGCCACACGCTTCGTGATTGCTTTTGTCGATTTTCCCCGGGGGCTTTTTCCATGGCCACGCTAGGCAGGCTCCACGGAACCGTGTGTTGTGCGAACAGCACCTTTATTTCTAAAAAGCGTGGACTTAAATGGTCCGTGGGAGCCGTGGCGGCAGGCAGAGGCCTCCAGGACACGGGCAGCTCTGCCAGGGTGCCCATCCAGGGGCTCCAGCAGCTAAAGCCACGCTGGCCAAGCGCTCAGCCCGTTTCTCCTGTAGGTGACATTGTGGCCCCAGCAGCAGCCAGCGGGACACCAGCACCCCGGCACACACCAGCCTGCGAGCACCGATCTCTGCTGGTCACTGGCAGAGCCAGAAACTCAGGGCAAAAGAACATCAGCCTGCGAATGGGAGGTCTCATACTTCGTGTTAAGCTTCTCTCTCAGGCTTTAAATCTGCTCCTTCCTCCTTCGTTTTGTAGGGATTCTTCACAGTTGTATTATTTTAATTTCCATTTGATTTGCTTTATTTGAATGATTTTCATTAGGTTTTCCGTTTCATTCATTTTTATTGTGGTCCATTTAATATTTACTGATTATTAATAATCAGTAATCAGTAATATTAATAAACTATTTATTTAGTTGAAGGCAATAATAAACATATTTAACTAATCACAATTACACTTATTTAACTCGTATTAATTTATCTTTTTCCATAATGTTTCTACTATTTTTTTTCGTGTTGTGACAATATTTGAAAAAAGCTAAATTAATTTGAAAAAAAAAAAAATCTTCCCTTCCTCCCTTTTTTCTTAAGAAATGTATAATTAATTATCTTGTTTCCCAAAGTGTTCTTAGAAACGTTTGGCGTTTTCTGACCTTATTGACATGTTTGTTCCTTCCTGCTTGGAACTACGCAGAACATTGCCTGCATAGTAATTTCATTAGATGCATTGATTATGCCAAAGGGCAGCATTGCTATAGATGTTATTTACTGAAATCCAAAGGCACGTTTGAACCTTGATTTTTTTAATTTTTTTTTTTTTTTTTTTTTTGGGGGGGGGGGAGGGGGAGGCGGGTGG